ACTTGCAAAGTCCTGATAGAAGCTGAGTCATATTTCTCAGTTTGGTAAGGCCATTAATTTGGAATTACAAGGATCAAGTTCAAAAAATGAAGGTACTCCCTCTCTCCAGAGGTCCTTTTAAGACAGAAAAATCACAGCAATCCAGAATGTGGGAGTTTTTCACAAATGGTTATTTTGGTATGTCTGTCTCAAGTTTCTGGTGGATGGGCATCTCCTTCTGCTAAAAAAAATAGCATGCAGAATTCAGAGGAAGTCTACAAAAGTCTGCATTAGAAATGAGTGAACACCTATCTCTAATAAGGTGTACTGGCTAGATCCTATATGCATCATAAGCCGTCAGGAAACTGATTGCAGGCTATAAAGCTAATCTTAAAGTTTCTGGGGCTCTTCTGAGCATATATGTCCTAAGGTGTGTTAGGGCATCCTATTCAGATGTTACATATTTATCAATTTATTTTTATATATAAAAACTGTACAACAATCTCAAAAGTTTGAAAAAAATCACATAATCATTTATTTAGAGCCTGCATGAAAATAAATACATGTCGTGAAAATAGTGATCTTTTCATAGTGAATGCTTTATTCTCAAATCTGGGAAAATGAAGTCAGATTCTCATATGGGGCATCTTATGTCAGTTAACACTATTTGAGGATCTGACCCATTTTAAAGAAGTGGACAATATCTTTTGTCTGGATGGATATTTTTCATAAGCAATGAATTTGTCTGAAAGGGGTAAAGTAAGAAGAAACAAAAAAATAATATATGTAATGTACATATTTTCTACTTATTAAGTTTTCTTTCAGATATTGTAAGTATGAAGCTTACAACAATAGAATATATTCCACATTTTTCACCATAAATGTGAAGCAAACTACAATGTTCCAAACTTTCTTAATGGGTAGGGGCACTGTGCCTTTTAATTCCTGAAGTAGCATGAGGAAAAGAATTCTAAGATGATATAAGGATGATTTTTCAAATAAACACAGAATTTCATAAGAGTCATATCAGTTTAACAGAAAGAAGTTAGGTTTATTTGTGAAGGAAGTCTCTAGGAAAGTGTTGCTTGTTTCACTGCATGAAAAACCTCCTCGCTATTGTTATCATGGCAGGTTTAGTAAAGAGTATTCAGGAGAGTACTGCAAGGATAAAACAACTTGCCAAGAAAAACATCAACTCAATATCTACTGTACCTATAATTTTCAAAGGCAACAGTTAGTAATATGACCCCGCTAGATTGTTATGTTCCATCACGTTTCACCATTGCCCTTTGATGAAAGAGATACTCTTCACTGAGAATCAGAAATCATGTGTGTTCATATAAATGTGCTTTTTAACTGATCTACAAGAGTACAGTATCCTAAAAGGACACTGATGGAGTACAGTTTTGTGCACATTTCTGAGCCTGTGCAAATGTAGATTTTCATGCCATAGAGTGTAAGCCTCAGAGGTTTTTCTTATGGCTCTGTTTCAGATCTTTTCTTTGTACTGTACATTTACACATACCTATCAGTGCCTCCAGGAATTATTGCACTGCTCAATACGTGAGCAGTGTGCATTGCAATTTTGACCTGCCTGACAACACTGGAAGCATATGGTCACTGTGCATTTGTGGGGAGGCTTCACTGATCACATATGAACCTCATGACTGCAGAAGATGTGCATAAAACTCTGCATGTGGGGCTTGTTTTAATACAGGTAGGACAATGCAGGCAGATAGAAACTTTCATATTTTCTAAAAACTTTTGCATTTCTTTTATTTCCGTAAATAGGCTCTTATGGATACTGTTACGTTCTAATGTTATAGCCTACTGGAGGTCCCTTTGGTAGCTGTCACTAGATGGTGCTAGCTGTATTAGAGAGGTGTCCCCCTCTTTTCCATCTCCAGTTCAGACCTCGCTCTGTCAAGGACCCAGGGTGTTTTGGCTCAGTGCAAGAGGTGTGTTTCCACTGAGTCCTGGGAGTCCAGAGTAGCTGCTTTGCCAGAGGTTTGGATTTACCTTGCACATATATATATATTTCTTACAAAACCAAAGTAGATCTTTTGTTCTGGCAGTATTTTCAAGGGATTTTAAGATAAGCAGAGGATCACTGTTTTTATTTTGGCATTCTCTCACCTTTGCCCAGAAGGAGATTTGCCCTTTACCAAGTCTGCTCTTTCTCACCAACACAGGAATCTCCTACCTTGATGTTTCAAAGCCAGCCTGGCAGAGGACTAGGAGACTGAGAGTGACTGGTGATAGGAGAAGTGGAAAGGGGAACACTGCCTCTCAGAGGAGTGGGCTTTGCCTCATACTTTGTGCAGTTGCTTGGAGCTGATTTGGATGGTTCCTTTGAGACCTAGAAAGTACGGAAGCAGGTCTTAAAAAAGGGTCTTTCTCAGTGTGTGGAGTAGGCTCTGGACTAAGGATGGTGGAAAGCATACAGAGGGTGGAAGAGGAAAATGTGTGGAAAAGCTAGTTAGGAAAAAGCTCAAATTGTGTTTTCCCTGCTGTAGGTTTTCTTCACTATGTTTAATAGTATCCTATTGAAAGACAAAACTTTTCTGAGACCAAACCTTCACGTTCTTGGCCTCAGGAAGTGTATCTAATGAAGGTACCAAAGACATCAGGTTTTCACCCTTAGCAATAACAGCCTTTCGCTTCTAAGGAAAGCACAACACATTGCTCTCAAATGTGGAGAGATGCTAAGTGCAGTGACAATTGTTTCCCAGGGAGAATGATTTGGCAGGAAGCAAGTATTTAATCACATAGCCACATCACATCATTACAGAGCATCACTCAGTGCAACCACTTGATGCAGTGCATCGCACCTCTGTAACAGAATGCTGGCTCCCTGCCAACAATTTAGAGAAAACTGCTATCAGCTTTTATAATTGCTTCACTTGATGAAACAACCCAGTGAAATGGCAGGGCTAGAAGGGGGACAAAAGGGAGAGTTATGAGACCACAAAATTCCCAGACTTCCAAGTTGCACCTCTTAGCCAGCAATTAAATTACTGGCTAACTTCAAAAGTCCACCACAATTCGCACTAATTGTCAGCCCTGCTGGCAGTATCCTCGTAGAGGCCAAGGATTAAATATATGCAAAGGGGCAGCTCACTGTATCCCTGAAATTATGCCCTTGGGCAATATTTGACCATTCTGCACACCTCCTGTAGCTGAGCTGATGACTTAGCATAGCACAGCACATATTTGCATTATCACTGCAAAAACACTGCTGGTCATACACAGAAAGAAAAAGCCAACTTGAATGTTTAAGACCATGTGTGTTCTCCTGCACGTTATCTATGTCATTTGTGCTCTCCTACATGTTATGTATATCATTTGACGCATAAGCCAGCAATATGTCCTTGCTACAAAGAAGGCTAAAGTTATCCTTGGCTGCATTAGACAAAATATTTCCAGCATTCTCGAGGAGGTAATCCTTCCCCTCTACTCAGCACTTAAGAAGCCACTGGAGCTCTGTGTCCAGTTCTGGGCTCCCAAGTACCAGAGAAATCCAACATAAAAGAGAGTCATGGAGCTACTGGAGGGAGTCCAGTAAAGGGCCATGAAAGTGTTTAAGGGACTGGAGCATCTCTCATGAGCAAAGGCTGAGAGACCTGGGACTGTTCAGCTTGGAGAAGTATCAGAGGGACCTTATCAATGTGTACAAATATCTGAAGAGAGGGTGTAAAGAAGGCAGAACCAGGCTCTTTTTAGTGATTCCCAGTGAGAGGACCAGGGGTAGTGGGCACAGACTGAAACAGAAATTTTGCTCTGAACATCAGAAAATTATTTTTCATTGTGAGGGTGACCAAACACTGGCACAGATTGCACAGAGAAATTATGGAGTCTCCATCTTTAGAGATACTCAAAAGCTGTCTGCACATAGTCTTGGACAACTGGCTCCAGATGACCCTGCTTGAGCAGGAGCATTGGACAAGGTAACCTCTAGACATCCTTTCCTACCTCAACTGTTCTGCTATACTGGGATTCTAGGACCCTTATGGTACAATACTCACAAGTATGAAGAAAAAAAAAAGATCAAGATTATGACAAGTAAGCAAATAATCCAGTTTTAAAACCCACAAATCCGTTTCTTGGTCCTATCCGACTAGATCTTAGGTACATGCATTTAAGTATATAAGACCACACTGATTCAGAGTAAAGTCTGAACATAGTCTATTAGGCCTGCTGTTCTGTCTACAACAGTGGTGAGTAGAGGATACATAAGAAAGAAAAAAAAAAACCTCAGGATCTGTAGAAAGGGATTGTTCCTGAGGTATTCCTGACAACCTTCTCACAGACATAATCTGAGGATTTTTATGAGGCTGGGTTTGCATCTGCCCCACTGAGCTTAATAGACACCAACAGTCCTATCATCCATAAATTTGTCTAATCTGTTCTTATCTTCATTTTTACTTTTAGGTATCCCTACACTAGGTATCCCCAATATTGGGGATACATTAGGTATCCCCAATATGACGATGAGTTTCACAACTTATTGTGCTGTGAGAAAACAAACATTCCCTTTTGCATATTTTAAGATTGCAGGCTGAGAGTTCCTTTGGTTCATTGTAACATTCTCATTCAAATCAAGAGGAACAAAAATGACCCGCTCCACAGGCTTTTGGATCTTTCTGTGTTTTAATCACCTGCTCATAATGTCACTGTTGTTGGCCTTAGTATCAACAGAGATAATGGTGGAGTAGCCCCCTGGGTGACCTAATGTGGTACCCCACTGTCCTTGTCCTGGGCAATGTGCAAACATGGAACAATCAGTTCCTCCAACCCCGCCTCTACCCCCCCAGATCTTGCAATCTAAATATAAGACACAGTAAAACAGACTTATAGAGGGAATCATGGAAAACCACACCCCAGGGTGAGTCAGCATGACTGACAATGTGCCCATCTATTTTTTTCCTGGATGTTGCTGGTTGCTTCAGGACAAGCCCAAAACCATGAATGCAAATCCTCTCAGGTAAAATGATTTGCACCCACTTCTCAATATTCCTCACCTTACATTCTTGAAGTATTTTCTCTGGGCTAACACTTCTCTGGTGCCAGATTTGGAGGGAATCAGCAGTTTCACTGCTGTTGTGGCCAAAGAGGAACAATAATATAATCCTTAGGAATCCTGCTTTGGATTGAAGTAGGCATCCACATGGCCAAGAAGATGTGCACCACAGTCTTCTGTTCTATAAAACAGATACATGCACTGCAAGGTTTGAGCCAGACACAAAACAGATTATCTCCTTTGCCAATGGAATAAAATGACCTCTTCAGTCTGGACACTCACAGCCATGTTCTGTTTTAGATTACATAAGCGTTTGTAGAAATGGACATAAGCATCTAGAACTAAGACCTTTCCAGACTTCTATTTATTGGCATATATTAACTGGTCTTGGTTCAGTCCTGCTTTAACATAGGATTATTTTTAGTTTTGCAGCGCAGTGTATTGCATGTACTGAATATGCCTGAAAGAATAATATTAGGGAAGAAACTTTAATCAGTTCAATATCCTTTTTGTTCCTTTTCTTCCAAGTGTAAAAATGTAATTGCCTGAAGACTGTAAGAAGCAGTCTTGAAAAAAGAGTGCGTATGGCTTAACATTAGTCTTGATTAAAATAAAGCCTCCAATATTGTTTTATGACTGTGTTTGTATAACATATGACTTTCCATAGGAGACATTAAACATTACTTGTTTATCTATTTAAAGCAGGGCATTCTGTTATTCATTACATGCAAACAATATGTGAATACACTGGCATATTTATTGTTAAGGTCAATACAATGATAGGATTTGATCACCTTTTTTTTGTTGCTTAGGAAAGAAAACAAAATACTTACAAAACCTGGGTTAATTTTTTTCTTTGCTTCTGACACCACTGCTATGTGCTCTAAGCATGTATTCAGTAGTGGGCCAGGCTACCAAATACATAAATTACAGTAGGGCAAGGAAGACAGTATCAGGGTCTGATTTCATACAGATCTCAACATGATTCTCAATCATGTAATGGTAATTGACCACTTTCCTTAGAAATCTTTACTACAGAAATGCTTGTCTAACCAGCAACTTTCAAAACTAATAAGATAGTGTGCCCTTTCAGTTACCATTCAGTGATAATCTGCAGGATGTTTTGTGTCTTTAGAAACATATATATATATATATATATATATATATATATGATATAGACATTCTGTTCCAAGTGTATAGGGTATTTCCTAGGAAAACATCTAAGAATCATTCTTAAGTAAATGCTTTAATTTATGTAGATGTTTAAATTTTTACATCAATGTGGATGAATGTAAGCTCATATAAGCCTTACTGATACAATCTAATGTTTTCATATTTTGTACAGCCTTTGTGAAACAAGGCATGCTGAGCACCCTATAGTGTATAAATGATGATATGAAGTACCCATATTACAACTCTTCAACTTCTTAATTGCTACCATTTAAAATAAAATGTATAAGCCTAAAGGATGGATGTAATATCATAAATTATCAGGACAGTCCAGCTGGTTGAATTCGCTTTCCTAATGGTTTGAAAAGATCCTCTGGTTTGATCAGCCTCTGAAAGGCCCTGTTGGAATACATCTCAGTCCATGCCTCAGTAGCTCCTTTCTCTTGCATTCTGAGCCTGCATGATTTCCCCCTAACGTCAATGGAAATTAGTGTGTTTGCCATCTGGCAGCAAATGCAAACCATGACTGTTGAATTAGATGGGAGTAGAAAGTGCACCAGTCCTTATATTTCTGGAAAATTCTGACATCATGTTCTGGCATCCTTCTCCCACAGTTAGGGATGATGAGATGAGGGGAGTGAATGGGCTTACGAGAAGTAATAGCTTGTAGGAACCTTTCAGTAGCTTCCTGTGCAGCCATACATAGAACAACCTTATTGCCATCAAGATGAAGAATTTGTGATGATATGCTAAGGGAAGCCAGAGTCACAGATTTCTCAGGGAAATCCAAAGTAATTTGATTCAATAAAATATATTTGGCCTGCCCCAGACAGACTTATATGTACTCATAATTGCCTGTTATACATACTTGTCCTCCATCCCACCCCAGGGGAACTGTGAGATAGCAAGAAACAAAAGCTTCCTCTCTGTAAAGGCTTTTTTACTTCTCCTACCAGCAGGTGCTGTTGCTGTGCTAAACAGGGATAACAAAGTGGAGCCTAGTGAAATGTCATCCCAGTGCTGGCTGCTCCTATCACAGGCTCCCATCTTCCAAATTGTCTTTTATCAGCATGGAAGGCAGTGATGTAAGTCTGGAGAAGACACCCCAACATACCTACCAGCATACGGAAGACACACATGAAGCCATGAGTCTAGTTCAGTCTCATTTGAGTTTTTCTGTTCTCATTATTAGCCTTTGCAATTATTGTTAGTTTCACTTAATGTGTTCCATCTGTACTCCTTTTAGCACTTGCTTCTAAATTATTGCATTGCACTTACCACTAATAGATATCAGGTGGACTTCATCTTTTGCAGCATTTCATATAATCCCTTCTGTATTTGAGACTAGACCATTTGTTGAGTTTTACTGGTGTCAATTAAAAATCTGACTTTAAAGACATTTGGTTAAGATAGTACAGAAGGCTCTGTGTGGACAGTCATATTTTGGATTATTTGTAAATCACTTAAAATAGGCTTAAACTAAACTTAACTAAAACAGAAGGATGTCCAAATGGAGGTTGGCACCAGTTTAATTAAACTGCAGAGACTATGTATATAAACAAGGCTTAAATCTGCAGACCGTAAATTACTTTTGACTGTGACATTACTCATTCCGTTTTACACCATCACAGGAGAAGTTCAGTTGCTCCTGTATTCAGCCAAAATGTGGATGTCACTCCACAGTAGATTTTGATAAGCCCCATATGCATATACATAGAACCTACACTAAATAGAGGAAATATGACAACATTGCCATTAAGTAACCTTGACTATATGACAGTACAGTTTCTTATGCAAAGCACTGGTGAAAATTCAATTGCATCTAGACACTCAAGTACACTATTTTGTAGAATGAGTATGTACTGAATTTATCCTGTCTTCTTTAATGTCAATTGATTATTCATGAACACTCGGTGTTATTAAAAATATTGCAAATATGTTTTGGTAAGCATATTTCATACTCATCTGATCAAATATTTGTTTCATCTCTTGAATCTATGACTATTATGTGAACTCATTGCCAGTTAAGTATTCCCTGTAGCAGTGGTCAGGTGTCATATGAAAGTTAAGTCAAAAAGCTATAATTTTCATTCTTAACTTTAGTCATATGATATTCTATTAATTAAAGACACTGTGGCCTTGCAATGTGAGAATAATGACAGACTGGTGTGCCAGGCAAACCTGAATTTCAATGTTTCTGTCTTACAGTGCATCACAAATTGAAGTTGTGGAAACAAGCTGTCTTATTTAGCAGTGTACTGAATTTAATAGAAACACATATGCAGTGAAAGCTAAACAAGTGCTTAAGTATCTCAGTGAAACAGTGCTTCCTGGACTGGAGAATATAATAATTTTCTTTCATTCTTTCTTCCTTCCCCTTTAGTTCCTCTCTTACTCCCTCCAGTTACTTTTCCTCAAAGCTTCCCATATTAATTTTTAGTATTGGAAGCATCACTATTGATGTAAGCGTCTCCACTATATTATGCTGGTTTTTGCCTGGTACTGTCTTATACCACTTGAGAGAATTGGTACCTGCAACCTCTTTTGTGAAGCTTGACCTTGCCTTATGTATTCAAAGAGGTCCCTTAAACAGATTCTATCTTTTATGCACAGAAGAGTTAGTGCACATAAAAGTGAAAAATAAAGTAAGTTGACTCAATAAGATTCATCAATGATTTTTTACTGGAGGTTCCTATTCCTCCAATTCTATTTCCCAAGAAAATGGATCTGAAGGACAAAAAAGGCCTGGAGCATTCCTATTGTACCTTAACCATGGAATAATTTTATTTAGTTTCAATTCTGTCATGCCTAAAGGCAACTTCTTTTTTCCAAAAGAAAGGAAAAAGATTCTTCATGAAAATTCATGGAATCACAGAATCATATAATGGTTTGGGCTGGGAGGGACCTTAAAGATCCTCTGGTTCCAACCCTTCCACCATGGGCAGGGACACCTTCTACTAAATGAGTTTCCTCAAAGCCTCATCCAACCTGCCCAACCTCAAAGCTCTATATTAAAATCAGGGTTTCAGTGTGTCCCTTTGCATTTTTGGTGTCTTTTTTTTTTTGTTTGTTTGTTTTCCCTGTTCTTGCTGCTGCTTTTTACTCAGACTCAGTTGAGCATGGTATTTAATAATTTAACATGTTATTTAATGGATGGGAGTACTCATGAGTTCAAGGCCAGGCATTTGCTGTAGTAGTTGGTTCCACTGGGGCTGTATCACCTTAGTTTATTGTAAGGAAGCCGGGGACTGTATCAGATGCAGTTGAAGATTAAGAAATCTTCTGTAGAGGCAAGCACTCCTATAAAATCCATTGCCGGAAAATTATTAAGTTTCTTTGTGTGTGTGTTGTTTTGGTTTTTTTTTCCTCAGGTATACTACTCTTATTAATGATGCATTGATTTGCTCTCTACTGACACAATACTTAACCATGTATACTTTTTTATACTTCTCTAGCAGAAACCTACACCATTCTTTGCTAATGTTTTGCACCTTAAGAAGGCCTCACCATAAGGTCATAAAGCACACAGGCAAATGCTGATGTTTCCTAAAAATATCTTGACATATTCACAATTCTGGAAAAATAATTTCTGTCAGAAGAAAACATAAATAGTCATTCTCTAAAGAAGATTAATCTCTGTCTTGATTCAAGGGGGATTGATTTTCTCCCTATGCCTTCAAGACTCTACAGAGCTTCAAAAACTCACAGAGGTTTAGAAAAGGAAGCAAACTGCTCTGGATGAGAAGACAATGTAATACATTACATGCCAGGTTGTGTCTCACTGGAGAAAAACTACTTGGTTCCTACTGACTCATGTATTTAGCGATTTATCTGTGCTTCATAAAGAGCAATAAACTACCTCTTGTTGATTCTGAGGCACCTGGCTGAATTCTTGGGCAGGGGCAATTGTAGGTTACAGGTAGTCCTGGAGTCATCTTGTGGTTATGGAACTTGACTGGGATTCAGAAATTCTGGGTTCAGTTCCCAGTAATGCCACAGACTCTTTAAGGT